GATTATTTATACATTTTTTACTATATTCCACTGATCCACTTGATTCAAAACGTTCTCGTAGTGTGGAAAATGTTTCCGGCCTTGGATGTCTTATATAAGGGTACCGTTGCTTATAAATGCGAGATGCTAGGAAACTATTTCTTTGGGCTTCGTCCAAAATGAACACCATATTCACCATTTCTTCTTTAGAAAAATTCATTTTCAAACACGTTTTTATTATAATGCGCACAATCCTAATTTTGACAGTTTGTAACGAATCAACAATTTATTTGTTTCCAAGGATGATGCGATATATTATTGAATTGAGCCGTTCCATAAAAGATGTGCTGATAACCGAAAAAAAAAAGCCGTAAAAATCCTTGTGTCTAGTATAAAAAAGCTTATAAAAAATTGAATCCAAACTTGCATGGTGATGCATTTGAAATTTTTGAGTAAAACTACAATTTGCGTTTTTGACCACCCTGTATGAGCAAAAAATAAAATTCGAAAAAATAACAAATAAGATAAAAGCTAAGGTATGTAAGTTTTTTTTTGATACAAAATTCAGCACTCCAAATTTCAAAATGGTGGACTGATTGGTTGCCGAAGTGGGGGGTTTTTCTAGACAAAATACCTTATATCTCAGCAGCTAATTACCAAAACCCCATAGTATGTTATATCGATTTTCTTCTTCTTTATATGCAATAAAATTTAAGGCATTCTATTTGAAAAATCACACGATATGTAGGTCGAAATTGGGACACCCTGAATAATGGCCAATATTTAAGAAATGTGCCCTCAAATATCATGTATAACAATCCCATATATGGATTTTCCCAAAATTTATTTGTTTATGAGTAATATTCCGCCCACACATGGATGGGCCACCCTTGACGAGACACGCGGTCTGGCGGGCCGATGTGACGCAACGGCGACTCTCATACGTCAAACCCTGCCTTGCATCTGACAGCATCGTCGTAATGCCCGTTATATTAACGTAGTAACCGCAGAGTGAGTCATGAATCCCTTATCGCACTTGACGACGGCACGCGCGTTAACGGTAGGAAATATGTACGAATAGCGATGAAAGTAGACGAGCCGATGCGCTGTTGCCAAGAAATGATTTCCCATGTATAACAATGGTTTTTTCTAAGGTGTATATACACCTAGTATAAGGAAGAAGCTAGCGTTGGCAATAGCAAATAGATGAGGACTATGGAGTGTATACTAATTGTATGTATATGAGCCTGTTTTGTTGACTTGACATATTTAATCACTTTATTATACATATTTGTAGCACTCAAAGCGACTAATTTGGTAAGTACATAATTTTTTGTGAACTGAAGACTGTTGCGCGGGAATTACAGGGTCAAACTACTTGGCGTCATTTTTTATCTTTTGGGGCGTATAAATGACAGTTGAAAATTTCAAGAAGGCAGCAGGGTGCCATCTTGAAATGTTTCGATTCTCCTCACAACTGAACAACTAGTCCGAGTTTCTTATGAAACTATGATATACTAGTATATTAATTTGCTGTGAAGGGATAAACATTTTTTAAAAATCCAAAACTGCTTTTGAATGTTTCTTTACGTGTTAGTTTTGTTTGTTTAGTGCTTAAAAAACCGATCCAGTGATGGCGAAGTTACTGGCAGAACGACAAAAAAAAAACGCATCATTTTTCACGTACCAGAAACAACAGCTTTTTTGGAAATATTTTTGAAGGGTAAATAAATTGGGGGTTGGGGGTTGCAGGGGTTCAATTTTTTGGTGCATGTGTATATTTATTCGCTTTTGACCCCGGTAATTCTGCACAACTATATGACATATTTCATACAGATTTAACCATACATTTGCCCTTAACGGGGTTCCTACAATCACGAGCACCATCTGCTGAGGTAACGGGGGGGGGGGGTGAAAAGGAAACGATTGTGGGCTGGTCTTAGACGGTGGTCAGCGCTACTTTAAAGGAGGAAAGGATGACTGCGGGTGCCTACCCAGGTAAATTTTTATAATAACAGAGTCGGATTTCGATTAGCGATCTAGCCTGTAAATCGTTTCCTATTTTGGTACTCAGCTAGTGATCATTTAGTATTGTTCTACCCTTGTTACTGTTCGCGATATTGTGTTGTTGAATTGTTGTGTTGTATTCTTGTTGGTGTGATTGTTCTTGAGTGAATTTTTAATCAAGGTTGATAATGGACAATAAAAGGTCATATGCGACAATTTTAATTACGAATTCAGTGAGTTTAATTCATGATGAGGATAACAATAGTGTGGAACAGTTCAACTCTATAATCGCAAAATACATTGGGTAACCGAATAAATTATTGCAAGAAGAGGTCATATCATGGAAGATGTGCTGCAGCTGTAGTGAGCCACAATACCGAGCGGCCTGTCTATGTGGTCGAAAGACATTATCGTTCTCAAAAACATATTTCCTTGACATATCGATAATTTTAAAGTTCCACGCTAAATTCCCCTATACTTGACTGGAGTGATATCCGAATTTATACTTCCCTACTGTCGGTAGTTGCAGATCTGTTGGCTGATGATGTCAAACCTATAGAGCAGGTACCGATTTTTTGAAATCGTGAGCACATTATTCGTCGGATTTTCGAGACTTAAATTTCCTGTAATCACTGGGATCAGAGGCTACTCAGTAATAGAACGAATTTCACTGATTTCAACCCCCCTTTTTAAGCAGTACAATTTTTTATGTCAATGATTAGGAACCCCTGAAACGGCAAAAACGGAGTTTCAGCAATTGTTACTTTTTTTTGCCTATAGCACCGTTGCCACTGGACTAACACTACAAAGCTTTGGCATACTAGTAACCGCGTGTGGAAATTTGATAAAAATCCAAGCGGTCATTTCCAAGTTAATGATGAGTGATACAGTTTTTCGTGATGTAGGTGTCATATGACTTAAAAAAACATAACATCTCAGTTTAGAAATTTTTCGCGAATACAATACTTCCTCGCCAATGACATTGGAAGTAAAACGACTATTTGCAGAACGACTTATCTACGCGATATTATATGAAATAGGGCCACCAAATTATCTGTATCTTAGTCCGTACATTGCGCCACAACGCTTGGTTTGGCAGCACGAAACAGTAGACAAAATTCGCCCAAAATACGATTTGTAGAGGTTTGCGCGCTTCAAAATTGACGCTTTATTTTTTGATATTTTTGGAAGAAATTTTCACAGAGTGCTGAAAACAAAACCCCACAGGGTGCTATAGAGCCACTTTTTTCATTTTTTTCGCTAGGTTCTTTTTAAAAAATCGCGAAGTTGAACAGAAAAAGTGCGCACTTCAACCCATCATAAAACTGCAAAAAAAATATTCAAAAAGTGCTCCTATAGCACCCTGGGCAATTATCTTCTCAATTTCATTCAAAAATATTGACGAATGGAGTGTCAGTTTTGAAGCAGCTGAACCATTGTAAATGGCTTGAAACTCACTGCCTGGGAGCCGCCTTAAGACTTGAAATCTGTAATACATCTATGTAATGTAAAGGGATATACAGCTGTCATCCTTGATATTCAATCGTGTTAGCTTATATTGTTTCGCTTGAAAATGATAATGAATGTTAGAGAACATTGATTAGATAGCAATGTTCGTGGCGCTATGAGTTAAGTTATAGTTTATTCACTGAATCGAAGCAGTTACATCACAAAGTCAAATAATGACGTGACGCACATGGTTGCCACATTAATTAAAACTACTAGATCCTAGGACGTTCTACAAAATCTACTTTAAGTCTTCGATACCTTACCGCAACCAACATTACGGAGCGTATGTTTTGTAAACACTATTTAATACCTAATACCTCTCAAGTAAAGGCAATAATGGAGCTCCATGATCTCGTTCGGTCTCAAAATATTTCGACAAAGGAATGACGAATTCTTTTGCTTGTCGACCCAGAGGTTTCAGCATTTTAGTAAAATGCTTAAAAGGACACCTCAAAGTTTAAAAAAAGTTGTTTTCATGAAATAACAATGCAAATACTGAGGCAAAAAGAACGGAAATAAACCACAAATAAACAACAGCCGTTGGTGTAATTACCTGACAAGCTTTGCGACAATGTCACAACATAGAAAACTGTTACCAACATAAATGTACCTGGGAAATTCAAACTATACGTACCAATTTAGGATTATTTTGCATTAAGGTTAGCATTCAAATTTACTAGATATGATGTACTTGCTTTGTTTCAGTGAATAAACTATACCTAGATGTAATTAACCTGCCTGCCGCTATTTTTATTAGGGAAAACAAAAAATATGCTGTAATGAATTTTGACCATCTTGAAAACATGATGGGCATAGTCTGATGTGAGTTTTCTATTTGAGTTCCTTTTTAAAAATGCGCTATAATCATTTTGTCATTTATTTCTTTGATCAGGTCCCGTATCTGGAAACGGTATATGTTATTGTTTATTTCTCAGAAAGAGAATTTTTTAACAAAATGAATAGCGTCTGTGTTGACACATACAAAATCGTGATCTACGTTATCAGTTTTATTGCGCTTTGGCAATAAAGATTTGATTAACTTTCCAAATTGCCTGAGGGCATCCATTATCTACGCGAGGCGTTTTTGACGGTCGTCTGACTCCCCCTCTCCACTGGTGATATTTGGCCCGACACCACTCGCCGTCTCCTTAGGGGTATTTTTTCCTTATGCACGGCCTCAAGAGTGACTAAGGGGGATACATTTGACCTCACACGGACTGTAACGAGGGAACACGTGTGGATGCTACATGCACACATTCTGGCCGCACCTTGGAGATCCGCCAGGTGGTACCTTCACGTTCGACAGTCAGAGAACGTCTACCATTTACGGGCAATCATAACATTCATAGCCAAGAAAAAAATCTCTCTGTCTCTTACCACATTTTAACCAAGACACATGTTTTACTTTAATTCCACCCAATTTTCTCGAAATCTTACACCGTTCCTTGCGAGAAAAAAGAAAATTGGTAATGTTCACCGAGACCCCCCTATCCCCCACGTGAGATTGGATGTGATTCGACTGGACTCCCCTTCCATTGAACACCTCACGTAATTAATGAATGTCCCTTATTGTTATAGATCAAGACTGATTTCAGCTGGCTTCTCTTTTTTTTGTTATAGATCATAGTGGGTGTAGTATATGTACTTGCGTACATATATAATAATACATCAACTTCAATTGTTTATATGGCATCCATCCAAATTATTATGCATCTATTTTCGGTAAACAATAATGAATGTAGTTTGAATACCAATTATCAGACGCCAAGGCTACAGCGATGCGAGCTGAACGCTAATCTTTTCGTAAACACTCGCGGAAATACCGAGGAAATCAAGTCATTTAAGTGTCACCAAATAAGTTTTGCTGTTCGAACATCATAGTTCTATTTTCAATGTTCACGTCTTTCTGTGAATCCATGACAAGCTCATACCAACGTAGGTATGTGAATTAGGTGAGTTTTAAAAATGCAGCCTTAATCGTCATGATGAAGCAAGTTCATCCGTGTGATGTTGGAGAGGTCATATTTTTTAATGTATTTTCATAATTTATAGATATTTTTACAGTAAGTAGCTATTGTAATATCAGATATACGCGTAATGATTTCATGGTAGTCGAGGAATCAGGGTTGAAAAATATCAGTTTTTGTAACATTTGGCGCCCATAAAAGGGTTCTGAAATATCCTGGCGCTATCTATCAGAACACAAAAATGAATTTAAAAATCTTCTTTAGAAAGACTTAGTGTTTGGTTTTACTACTGTGTCATAGATGGCACTGGGACTCTCAATCCATTTTTGACTCTTCTATAATCCCTATTTTAATTGGATATATTGAGGTGCAATACGTTAATCACTGTCTGAAGTTACTCAATTAAAAAGGGCATTGGAGAAGCCACAAAGTGATTGAAGATCATATCGCCACCTTTGAGGCAGTATCAGGACCAAACGCTCTAACAATTTTGAAATTCATTTTTAGGCGCCAGCGTTGCCACCTCCCTGACTGTTGTTGGAGGTTATAGGATTATTTCTCCCTTTTTGAGAAACTCTGTGATTACGAAATCTCAGGAATAATAACGGAGGGTTTAGGGGTGATATTTCCTTGAAAGGATGATCTTGTAGTGTTCAAGATTAGAGAGTTTTCTTTAAAAGGAAAATACAGATTAATTATATTACTCTTAAAGGGATTACATACCTCGATCTTGCTTGGTTAACACAGCAATGATGATGGAAACTGTATATGCTTCTGGATGGTTTTAATTGTAATTTGTTTAAAACCAAAATAACATTAATGTTTCTAAGCATTAAAATTCAACTCTTCACCTGTTCAGATATAGAAAATTAGAAAATCGATGAAATGTATTGCAAAACCGAAGACAACATAATCAAGACCGAGGACTTGAAATTTGATTGTTCCCAACTAGGAGGTGTAGGAAAGGTTGCATTTCAGTTGATGAAGAAACATGGGAAGAAACCTGCGCAAGTAAGTTATTATTTTTTTAGTAGTAAGCTTACAGAGGATCTTGGGATTCTCTTGTAAAAACGGGGGTCGGCGATCTTGCTCTCTCCTACGGCTATATCAACTGGACTTTGCTCCTCATAGCTCTCCTCCATTATACCGCCGCGCATTCAGGCTACCATACGGACCCGGCAAGCTTTTGACTCCCATCTTTACTCTGTAGAGCATCATACATACAGGACTGGCCGATACGACCGCTCATTTGTTCCCAGGGTGACGAGGTTGTGGATCAATCTGCATGAAGAGGCTAATCCTTCTAACCGCTGGCAGTTTAAAAATCGTATTTAGGAGTCTCTACTCTCCTAACATTTTATTTAGCTGTTCATAAAATGAAATAAAACATTTTTTTCGATGGGAAATCTTTAGATGAAGGAGCTTCATCATCGTTCAAGTATTTCCAATTGAAAAAAGTATCCTCAAATAAACAGCTAAGTAAAAGTCTCAGCCATGTATTTTTTATCTTATTTATTTTTTACTTTTTAGAATTTATGGTGTCAAATAACTAGTTTGGTAATTTCTGTAACACTCTCATATGTTTTATTAATGGGATCCCATAAAACTTTACACACTTTATTTGTATTATAAAATTTCCATAGTTGGAATCGTATAATGATAAATCGATATTTTGCGGCGATCGCCATATGGAATTTAAAATGACGTTATTTACCTATCATGTTTCTCTCGTTAAGCGTTGATTTGATATCCATATTAACGCGGTGACCATTTTTTCCTTATTATGTTCATTTATCAAGCCCATTTCATGTGAAACCCATAGCGTAAGCTGACTGTGGAAACTATAAACCGCCATTTTGCAATAGCCACCATATTGGATTTAAGATGACATCGGTTTTATTGTTATGTACCTCTCATAAAGCCCTTCGATTTGATATCAACATTATATTGGATATAGAATGACGTCACTATGCTTATTATGTTTCTCCATCAAGCTCTTTCATCTAATACCCATAACATAGGGGTGACTGTAAAAAATGTAAATCGCCATGTTACGGTGGCCGCCATATCGGATTTAGAATGACATTAAGGTTAATTGATTCAAAATTCAGTTCCAAAATTTGTCCCGTACAGGTCAAGTTAGATAAAAGCTTGTAAAAATACCTACCTCACAATGAGGCCTTATCTTACGCGTCTTAACTTATTCCATGAGGCTACTCTTATGTTGGCGGCCCATACTGCGGGGTCGGCAAAAAGGGTCAAAAGTGGCTATGTTGACAGGCTTCACCTCCTCACCACTACTACTACTATGCTAGAGGTTAAATAGTTCTGTGGACTATGTTAGAAGTTGAATTATCTGAAACTATCGATTTTAAAGTCAGTATAAGTACCTTCATACATATTTTAGTGCTTTATTTTGTGATTTAGCGCTTTTGTAATTTCAAGTGTACCATATAAGTGTCCACAAATAACTAATTATCTGGCTGGTTTAGAGAAATAATCGTAAAAACAATTTTCTGGGAACTTTATAGTTCTGATGAACCATAAATATTGCTAAAGGTGAACCGCAAAATGGCTATATTTAGATAACTGCAAATAATTTCTAGAGGTCATCACGTAAAATAGAAGTAAAACAAAGTTAGCAAAACTACGAATAAGATAATCTATCTATGTTTTGCGCCCAGGGCCGTCTCAAGTAATGTAGGGGCTCCTAGACGTACAGGAAACTTGAAGCAGCAGTTGAGAAAAATTGAAGAGCGGGGAGGTGGGGAGATAAAGATGGTATTCAGGCATTTTTTGGAAATCTTGTTTGATCTCTGGGCATTTTGGGGTGCCCCTTCAAGTCGGAGCCCGTGCCAAACGCCCAAAGGGTAGAGACGGGATACCTTGCGCCATATGGACATAGAAAACATCGATTAGTTCATGAAATAGGGGTATAAAATACGTTATGTAAATACAGGGTGCGGCAGAGAGGACGGACGTTTTTGGGATGGGTAGTACTCTCCGCCTCCGTCTACGAGAGAGGTGCGAAGGGTGCCGTTTGACTGGTGAGTTCCTAGCATTATTTTACCAGTTGTCGTTATGGAGCCTTGAACGGTGGAGCACCGCGTTTTCGCCTATGAGTGACGAATCCCACTTTCACCTAAACAGCATGGTTAACCAGCAGAATTGTCGTTATTGGGCTAATGAAAATCCGCAACAATTACACTAAAGACCGCTGCACAGCCCAAAAGTAACGGTTTGGTGCGCTGTATCGCAAACTTGCATCATTGGCCCTTACTTCTTCGAAAACGGTAATGGTCGTGATGTTACCGTCAACTCAGAGCGCTACGTCGCCATGATCAGCAACTTCTTTCTCCCTGAATTACGACGGCGACGTGTTCCAATCCGACGTGTGCGGTTCCAGCAGGATGGGGCGACTGCCCACTCAGCCCGAGCATCGATGGACGTTATCCGCCCTCTCTTCCCTGGTCGCCTTGTTTCCAGGTTGGCCTCCTCGGTCCCCAGATCTATCCATATGCTCTTTTTTCTTATGGGGACACCTCAAGGCTAGAGTATACGCGAACAAGCCCCGAACTCTGGACGAATTGAAGGGCGAAATTCGCGTGGAAGTCGCCCAAGTTGAGAGAGCGATGTTGGAGAGAGTCTACGCGAATTTCCAAGAACGCCTTCAGCACTGCATCAACGATTTCGGCCACCACATGCCTGATGTGATTTTCCACACTTGACTGTCTCAAATGCTATTTCCTTGTGAACCTGATTCCATCAATAAATTTATTTTCGAGTAAAAATTAACTATTTTATGATTTTTTGAAAACCGTCCATCCTCTCCGCCGCACCCTGTACTTTTATCTACGACCAGGCATCAATGTACTTTTCTGACGTTGAACCCACCTTACAGCCCACGGACCCTTTTTTATGCCATAGAGCGATAAGAAACTTTACGGACCACTATAATTAAATGTACGTAATCTTTTGTTGCCCAGCGAAGGTACATCTATTGGTAACAAAATAGTACGTCACCTTTAATTCAACTTAAAAGCTACAGTATGTGATTTTAGCCGGTCATAGATGAAATTTTGTATGTATCCCAGATGCTTTTATGCTCTTGGCATGTTAGTGCCCGCAGCGGTTCTCGCTTGTAACTTCATGCCGCGGGTCGTTCTAAACTGCTTAACGCACTAGATACATAAATAACTATTAGTTATCCTTCAAAGCCGTGCACATCCCAATAGAAGTAAATTATATCCTTGTTATTCTGTAAGTACCTAGAACATTTTAGTCTGCCTATTTGTCGTTATAAATAGTGAGTCAAATATCGAAGACGTCTAAACGCATTCTTTTTTTTTTTAGATTTTAGCAGAGACAGGAGAAGTAGATTGTTTCGAATCTCTTTTGGAGCGCAGTATTCGTATAGCTTTGGCATTACGGAAAAAGGGCATAAAAAAAGGAGATATCGTCACAGGATGCTCTAGCAACCACCTCAATGCTTGTGTTCACATACTGGCCTCGTTTTTCATTGGAGCAATACCATGTTCTTTAGGTATGTTATGTGATACTTCTGCTTACATGGAGCCTTTCTCTGATTATTAAGTATTAAAAAGATATCACGGTATGCTCTTGAGTACGGTGAACTACGCACTCACGTGAAATATTTGTATCTATAAAAAAGAAAGAATGTAGGTCCAGTCAGTCATCACGTCTTAACCAATGTGGAGAGACATAAAAATTTGTCATTTGTACACTTTCCAACTGAAATCCGAGGAAGGTTATATTCATGGTTTTATCCGAGGAAACACACAATGTGGTGAAAGAATGTAACTATGCTCGGTCGGTAGTTACCACCTCAGTGGGTGGTTCTCTGTACTTTGGATTTTGGATGCAAATGATTGTGGTTTGAGCGTCACCTAGCTCAAAGCACTATTAAAAGAAATAACAAGTAACAAAGGTTGGGTCTCTGGCGCTAAAGGAGATACAAACTCACAAGGTACACAAACATCAAGAGATAAAATAAATTTAATAGAAGTTTGGAGGGCAAGCAAAACAAAGTTACTTTGAACGATTCACCTACTGGGTACCCTTAAACGTCACCTTTACTATACTCTTTAAGGTCATTTGAAGGTCAAGACTGTTTTCTTAAAGGAAACCCCTATTTTTGACATGGGAAATGTAACGAGCGGTAGACCCACTTTTATGTTTGCGAGCGATTTTCTCCAAACATTACCTGTATTTAGTAATAAAAGAATACACGTCGATGTCATCAGACCACGCTTAAAATCATCTTCCTTGTGGAGTTCCGATGGAACTCTTAATTTATGAACCCAAATATGAGAGCGCATTAGAGCATTTAACTATGGAATCAACTTTCCACATCGAGTACACAAACTTGGAGAAGGAAAAATTATTAGATTAGAATTTCTGATAGACGCAATATATTATGGCCTTGAAAATTTATTGGTTTTGTCCAAGGGCAATAGTGTCACCAAGAAATGATTCAGTGGATGTAATGAATAAGCTACTAAACATTACTTTTACTTTAACTAAATTTTACAGAAAATGTCTGGTCAAATCGAACAGACAGTTGCCGGCACCTGTCAAGATTTGGTCATATGGTGCGCGTGTAACTCGATTGACATGTTGTGTATTATTGAAGATAGGGTGCACTATCCTCAATAATTCTTAAATTTTATTTGTGCTATTTTAGCCTTCTACATCACGACCTTATGTTAAAGGTCGACATTCCAATAATGGTGTTAAGAAACTTGAGCCCTCTCAACCTGTTCAATGGCACTAGGCTACTGATAAGAGAGTTGTAGTGCAATATTATCGTGGCGACCATCTTCACAGGGCAATAAGTAGGATAACTTCTTTATATTCCGTGAATACCCATGCTTTCGATGGATTTGCTAATATCATTCAAAAAGCTTCAGTTTCTAGTTAAAGTTTCATTTGCCCTGACGATAAATAAGTCCCAGTGTCAATCATTCTCTGTGATGGGCGTTGACTCGAGAAAGCAGTGTTTTTCCATGAGCAATCGAGCAATTATATATTTATCTCGAGTTATAGTTGAAATTGTAGGAAATTTCAGGCTGATAAAACATGATATAACTCAAAAGCAAGCACAATTTGATGCAAATAGATGTTTGTAACATAACCTCAAAATAGAGCGCTGGCACGGAGAAGTAGAAAACTATGGCAATCAAGGAGGCCATAAAGGCGCCCTACAATTGTAGGGACGACTGACGATACGGGCCTAAATTTTGATACTAAACAATCTTACATCAAACATAGTATATTAAGAAGTCTTGAACAAATAACTTAATCGCCCAATACATAACGTATGTCCTAAAAGTTTTGGCACAAAATATTTATCGTTTTTTTAATGAAGATTATACCTATAGTCCAGTACACCTCTACCAAAATATATTCCTCTCGAGTTAAAGTGAACGAACACTAAAATGAATACGCGACTACAACACTCCAAGAAGCAGAAATCAGTAACTGAAAAAGTAAGCCGAACACACAATAACAGTTACATACACATTCAAGTCGATGATCCACCTGACGACAGTTCAAAAACTCAAGAAAATATAGTACTAGATATTAGGAATAAACTAGCGCTGAGCGAAACAAAGGTTGAAGAGCTCACAGTTACGATAGCCGATCTCAAGAAGAAAAATGATAGATTAATCGACGAACTTGTAAACAAAGAGAAAACTATTGATCACATGAAGGAAATAGTAGAAAAGCTAGCTAAAAAAAAAAAAAAGTACAGTTGAAAATTCTACTCAGACCATAAAGGAACTTAAGACGAGTGTAAAGGAGACACAAACAGGAAAAGGAGTAATTAATATTTCAAACAACCACTTGAGAGATCCTAAGCCCACTCATGACCAGCCTGCTAAGTACCAACAACCTAAATTAAACAAACAAGTCAAATCTAGAGTATTAATTCTGAGTGATGATTTTGGACGAAACCTTGTATATGTATTGAGGAAAGTCCTACCCGCACGAATGTTTAACATCGAGATGATTATCTATCATAATGCACTAATAAATAATGTGGTGAAGAATATTGATCTACTTACCGCCGACTTCAGCCAAAGTGACTTTGTCATTGTCATAGGCGGATCCAATGACGCTCTTCAAAAAGGTTCCATAAGTACAAACGATATGGGAAGTAAATTGAAGAGCGTCAAAGGAACAAATATCATAGTTACAAGTGTTCCTTCCTGGAAGTCCCAACGACCTGTCTTGAACAAGATTATTCATGACATAAATAAGCAGCTTCACTCAATTTGCCAAGAGTCGAATGCACACTTCCTAAACATCTCAAGCAGCCTACGAGGATATCGCTTCCGGAGTAATTCTAATCTCCTAAATAATGAAGGAAAGCATAGACTCTGCTATGAAATCATGGATATCATCTCTCACAGTAGTAGCATCTTACAACAACTATCTCCACAGGTAAGAAACACGGATAGAATACAGAACCTGGCACTGAATGAAAACGTTTCATCAAGGCATCCAAATGCCACAGGCAACACACAGGATAGAATGACATCTAGTGAACACCAAGCAATACCTCCTACACATAACACCACCACCGACAGCACAAAAATCTTGAACAACACAACTGCTACATCTTCCACCGTTACTCCAATAGCGTCGCAAACAAAGACCCAATCTCCAAAAAAACGTGCAATTTTTCAAATGCGAGCCTCACAAAAACAAACATCAAAGTAATACATATAAATGTTTGCAGTCTCCTGAACAAATTTAACGAAATTGAACTTCTCGTATATGAGTGGTCGCCAGACGTATTATGTGTCACAGAAACGTGGTTACCTTCAGATGCCATTCCGATATTCAACTTAGAAGGCTACCGGCTCGTATCGTTCTTCTGTCGATCCCAGTATATATGTATACATGGAGGGTGCGCCATATATGTTAAATGTGAGCTGGCTGCTAAAAGTATACCATTTATCAACCACCAATCAGAAGAGAAACACATAGAGGTCTGCGGAATAACTCTGCAAATAAATGGTTTAGAGGAAAAAATCACGGTAATATGTTTGTATAGATCACCATCTGGCGAAGTATCAACATTTCTGGGTAACTTAACAAATATCCTGGATAGAGTTCTAATCGATAATAATACCAAACATGAACCATTACCTGCTTCAAGATCTGTAAGCATCTTTTAACTTGCTTAACCATTGTCATGGAGCTACTCGTACAGCTATCAATAAACACAACAAAATAACGGAAACAGCAATAGACTATATTATTACCAACATTAACGTAAACCATTTAAAGTGTACAGTCTTTGAACCTCACATATCAGATCATACAGCGCAACTCTTAGAACTAACTACATCGCCAATAATGGAAGAGCACCATAAGGAATCAAATATTTCGGCTTACACCCATAGAAAAATAAACGCTGACCACCTGAAAACCTTCAAATCCAAGTTAGCCCAAGAAGCATGGGATATCAGTGATCAAGATATTGATGCTGGATTTGAACAATTTATCAACACTATCCTGTGGCACCTAGATATAACATGTCCCCGGCGAAAGTATGGTATTTCAAAAAAAAAGCAAAATTCAAAGCCTTGGGTAACTCCTGAGATACAAAAATCTAGCCAAAACTTAAGATCCTTGTACTCCTCATGGAAAAGGCAAGACACTAGTCAGGAACTCAGGCAACTTTACCTTGAACAGAGAAAAGTTCATAGAAGGCTGATATCATCAACCAAGAGGATATACTATGCACATACCATTTCGGAAGCTACAAATAAGCCCAGAAAAATATGGGATATAATAAATCAGGAAATTGGACGGGCGAAGACGCAACGAAATATTGCAATCAAACACTGTCCCAAGGAAATTACAAACTTCGAGATACCTGATCAATTTGGAAAATACTTTGCTACCATAGCACATACGACGTTGGAAACGCACTTTCAAGGGATGCCGGCATCGCATTGTACAGTTCAGCGACTTTCTACGAACTCGATGGTCTATGAAGAAGTTACGGCTGCAGAGATCATAGAAATAATAGATGACCTTCCAAATAAAAAATCCTGCGGCAGTGATGACATATCAACGCGAGTGGTGAAAACTATAAAATGTGAGATATCAACTCCACTTTCACAGCTTATAAATAAGTCAGTGCTGAAAGGTAAATTTCCAAAGTGTCTCAAACTTGCCATTGTAATTCCTATATTTAAGAAAGGAGATCCGACTGATATAGAGAACTACAGACTATATCTCTGTTATCTATTATATCAAAAATTATAGAAAAGTGCCTGCTTAGACGAATCGTTAGCTTTTTAAATAAGTATAACACCATATCAGACAGTCAACATGGGTTCCGGTCTTCACGATCCATAGAAACAGCGTCATTTGACTTTTTTAACAAAGTTTACGAGGATATTGATTCTAATAAATATGTTGCAGGCTTGTTTTTCGATCTTTCGAAGGCATTTGATATAATAGACATAAACTTCGTCGAGCAGAAGCTGTATAATCTCGGTATTAGGGACTTTCTTTTACGCTGGCTTGTTTCTTTTCTATCAAACAGACAGCTTAAAACAAGAGTGAATGGTTCTTCGTCGGGGGTGTATGACATAAGCATTGGTGCAGCCCAGGGCTCGGTACTAGCGCCACTCCTGTTCATTTTGTTTATGAACGACCTAAAACTATCTGGCCATATGGTCAACTACGCTGATGATACGTCAGTAGTAGTTAGTGCAGCAACACCAGTTGACCTGCTCCAAGCAATTGAGCGAGTTGAAACAGAAATGAACGACTGGTGTGTATCAAACCGCCTTATACTAAACGCTGATAAAACAATGTATGTGCATTTCTACAATAGCAAACCACGGTTGCACAACGATATCTTCTCAGACGGAACCGAATTCTTAGGAACTCATATTGATGGGAAGTTGGGCTGGCAGTCACATGTGAATCATGTCATTAAGAAACTCAATAGTGCATACTTTGCAATCTTGAAACTCAAACAAAACATCTCCCAAACAGCTCTTATAGATATCTACTACGCCTTGGCTTACCCGCATCTTAGCCATAATATAATACTATGGGGACAAGCAGTCATGAACAACAGAGTCTTCATCTTGCAGGAAAGAGTACTCAGGCTGATTTTCAATATCAACAAAAGAGACTCTTGTAAAGATATTTTCAGAACATATAATCTGCTAACATTAATATCCATCTATATATATAAATGCGCTCTCTTCGCATTTAAACATAGGACCAGTTTTATTCAAAATAACACAGTTAACAGGCACTACAACACCAGAATAGGTTTTGACTTAAGTATACCAGTCCACGCAACAGCCCAGTTTCAGAAATCACCACTCTATGCCTGTACAAAAATTTACAATAAACTACCAATTGAGTTCCGCAGAAGCACTAATATGTTGACATTAAAGAAACGTCTGAGAAGATATCTATCAGAAAAGTGTTACTACACCGTCGACGAATACCTAACTGCTTAATTTTATTTATTTATTCTTTTTATTTATTTATTAAGCTTAACGGAAAAGAAACAGACTATTTATTGCTCCTCTTCTAGACATTTTAAGCGCTCAATTGTTTTTATTTATTTAAAATAGATTTTTTTTTCATGTTCGTTAGATGTCATTGAGAATTTGTTTGTGTTTGTAATGACTCCTATTTTATTTATTTATTTTTTCATGTTCGTTAGATGTCATTGAGAATTTGTTTGTGTTTGTAATGACTCCTATTTTATTGATTTATTTGTTTATTATTTATTATCTCAATTACCGTTTTAATTAACTACCTGTTCTTTTTTTGCATATCGCATACTTATGTATTGTATATGTAATGTTGACAAGTCTTATGTCATAGCTATTTATGACCAAAAGACAATAAAGACTATCTATCTATCTATTTAAACATTAACTAGTTTACTAGTTATCATAACTTACAACTCAACTATACTTAAGAATTATGTGGAGTTGTCCATTCTGGTCTACTAGACGCAATTTTTTTGAATTTCTCTCAGTTTTTCCTAATTTCGCGGTCTCAATTGCTCTTCATGTTAAGCTTCCCAGCCTCCACGATAAACGTTCCTAGACAGTAATGCGCAAAAATTCTGATTTTTTGCTCTTCTCACCAATCTCTCTGACCTCTGTGCAGTAAATGCACTTTTTGGGAGATTTGGACATGGCATTCCCTGCTCGCACTCCTCTATTGTTCGATAAATGGTTCAGCGTGAAATGGTTTCATTCTGGAATATTCGACAGATTTCAGCTTTCGGTATCCACCCAACCAACTTGTAGATACTTTTTCTTATTTACAAATTTATACATCCAAAAGCGAAAACTTCAAAATAAATAAATGTCAACTAACAGTAAAGTAAGTAAACAACCTTTTGTTTCCAAAGTCAACTTGATATTATTGCGCGTTTGCTAAAATTAAAGCCAATGCCTTTTCTGGAAAAACCTTTAGGACATACGTTACTAGCAGGCGACATGAAATAAAATAAACATAAGTCCTGTACACTCAGTACTAAGAACCATACATACAATATGATTTTATTACAAGTAAACATGCTTGACCCTCAGCGAATGAGCATGGGTCATCATCAAAATATTTATACAGGGTGTAGCAACATAAGTTCCTTTGTTAAAATAAGCTATTTGGTCGGTTGACGTCGTAACGGAGCGGTTGTGATCTCGTTCGACAGACGGTAATATAAACTTTTGGCCCGATACAGTTCAATCGCCATCATGCGTTGGGACAGTGGCGAACGTACTTTTGTCATTGAGGTCTACTTTTCGAGCGAATGTTCTGTGATCGCAACCCTTTCGAAATCGCTTTAATTTATTCCCTGTCCCGGACCGGAAATCATATGTTACGTGGGTCACTACGTAGAGAAAAACTGCAAGTGCAACAAGACGTAGAACTCGAGTCCCTCGACTCATTAGATCGCCTGAAGACATTGAGGCAGTAATAGATTCAATAGTGCGATTATCACGGCAGCGTTCTGCACGCAAGCATGCGTCTGCCCTTGGACTTTCTGGTCCTCCTGTGAGAAAAATTCTTCATGAAGATCTTCATTTCCATCCTTACAAGATGGCAATTGTGCAGGACCTTTCTGAACATGACTTCAGTTCTCGGGCGAACGCATGCACAGTAGTTCCTCCATAGGCCAAAAATCCCAAAATCTCATGAGTCTATAACCGCCTAAATGAGTCGCTAAACTATCGTGTAGGCGCGAGGCTTTAAAAAATATGAATAACAATTTAATTAGATCAAACTGTCATTTACTTTCGTCCATCACAAGTGACAGCTTCTCGAGTCTAACTACCGGGACGTGTAAGTCATTGCAACTTACTTTTGTGCAAGAATATGGTATGTACTCTTATTATTTACCTATTTTATGTAAAAACATGCGTTGATTTTGATATATTTTTTTCCTATAAAACTAATTCATTTCGAGTTATAAACTTTTATAAATGTTATCTGAAAGTAGAGAATGTCTAGATTAGGGGCATATAGGTTTCATCTGCATCTTGCTGCCATATAAAAGTAGTGTTTTCCAAATCCAATTTTGTTGTTGTTTTAGGTAATTTTTTAAGTATTCTGCTTCGAGAAGGCCTTTGGTACTTCTGAGGATGGTAGTTGTTTACGAAAGTCACCTGTTACAAAAAATACATATTATAAAAATCTGTGTTGGATTCGTTAAGTTAATTGTTTGCATTATAATGTATTATAAGTACTAGACTTATATACATATATATATATATATATAATTTTTTCAATATATCTTGTTTGCCCTTATTATGAACTGTTTTATTCAATTTCTTTAATATAAGGTTGATCTAAAACAATATATAAAACAAAAATACTGAGAAACATTTTTAGTACCTACTTAGTATTTTTTTCTAAAAAAGAATTTTATAAATTGTATTTTCATGTTTGTACAACTGTATTTTAAGGATTAAAATACAATGAAAAAGGTTGAATCTAAGTTGTGTGTTTATGGCCGCCGTAGTCTGGAAAGGGAATCACTGTGGCATATTTTGATACATGTAATGTGTTTTATTGAGTTTTTGTGATATACATGCTGACAGTTTGAACAGCATTCTGGGAATAGCTAGAAATTGCTTGGATAATTTATGATATGTTACTCACCTGAGTGAAATATGTTTTTTTTGCTTCTTTTTCTTGTTTGTTTTTTCTTCAGATGTTTTCTGTTCTGGTTATTTTGATTTATCTTAGGATTGTCCTCTAAATGGTTTCCTTAACTATTGGGCAATAAACGCTATTTATTATTTATTATTATTATTATGCAGATCCTACCCTATCAGCATTTGAGTTTAAACAGCTAATAGCCCAAGTGGAACCAAAGATTATCTTCACAGTACCTGAATCGTTGAAGATCATCACAGAGAGTTTAAGAGAAGTTGATTTACAAGCAGAAATCGTAGTATTTGGTGAAGTTAAGGGATATACTTCATTTGAAGAATTCATTCAGCCACAGGAAGGTACGTCATCGTTGAAATTATCGTTGATAAAGTAGATTCCATAAAAAATAGCTGACTGATGTTATACAGGGTGTTTGCGAAAGGTAGGGGAATCTCGGAACTGGAGATACGACAGACCAAAATACGTGAATTGACCCAAACATACCTTACTCCAAAAGTTGATAGTTTGCGAGATACACGGTGTCAAAGTTACAATTTTATTTTCTATTTTTCCTTATTGTTTGAGAAGTATTCCAGATTTTGGCATAAAACCCGGTATAGGAAGGTTTTCCAGTATGAGAAACAAGAGATCGTTTTTTTTTTATGGCCAAACTTCTAGAGAGCGTCACTTGCAACACTATTTCGGTAAATAACTTATCATGACTTTTTTTTACTATCCTGTATACAACTGCTATTCATGCGTGTTTGTAATGGAAGATCTTCCAGCAGAGTGGATAATTAATTGTTCTCCAAGAAATTGTAAATACCTTTGGCCATTTAGTCTAGGTAGTAACTCAACGGGTCCTATTAAATAATGTCCAATTATTCTTGCCCATAAATTAATTTGAAATTATACTTGGTGGCGGGTTTGTATTATTGCATGAGGATTTTCATCTGCATACATGTGAAGATTATGCGAGTTAATTGGCCCATCCCTTCCGAATCATGCTTGGTCCGAAAATAATATTAACGAAGTAAAACCATACCCTTGCGGGGCCATCATCCGCGCTTAAACCATGTACTCTTTGCAGGTGGTATGGATGGATCAGCTGCTCTTGAAAAATGGTATTTACTGTACATTTGGAAACTTGAAATTCTCGAGCTTCATTCATAACCCCAACTGTAGGATTTTCAAAGACAACATCTAAAACATTTTCCTCGACTTCAGCTGTACGTAAAGTTCTGGGAGCTCCACTATATCGGCCCATATTTTGAGCAAAACTACCTAAAATCCAAATGGTGTTTACTCGAAATAAGGCTATAATCATTTCTTACCAGTTTCTCGTAACCGCTGTCCAATTCGTTGGAAAGTCTTTGAGTTAGGCAGGTGTCTATTAGGGAATCTGTCAGTGTACAATCTTCGTGCTTTTAAAGCATTACATCTTGTCAATCGTACATTACATGCATATCAGAATATTCATCAAACGTATACTCCATGATGTTTAACAACTTATTGTCAACTTAAAATTATTCATGAAGTTTAAAGCAATATTATGACAAACTGTACAAACCATAGCAACGCTACTCAGATATTATCCAAAACAATTTGATTATTATGTTATAAAAATGCTTTTTCATCATGGTACAAATAATGTATTGGAACATTTAAAAACAAATATCTCGAAAATTATAAGCTTTAGACGAAAAAACAAGATTTTCGGTCAGTTGTTGTATACAGGGTAGCATAAAAAAGTTATGATAAGTTATTTACCGAAATAGTGCTGTAAGTTTGGCCATAAAAAATGATGGATTTTTGTTGCTCATACTAGAAAATCTCCATATACCGAGTTTAATGCGAATATCTGAAATACTGCTTAAGCAATAAGGAAAAATTGAAAATGAAATGTAACTTTGACACCCTGTAAGGAAAAATAGAAAATAAAATTGTAACTTTGACAACGCGTATCTCGCAAACTATCAACTTTTGGACTAAGGTATGTTTAGGTCAATTCACATATTTTGTTCTGTAGTATGTCCTGTTTCGAGATTTCCCAACCTTTCGCAGTATATAAAGTCAGCCTCAATAGGATGTTCTATTTTTTATTTTTGAATAAATTTGTAATCCGTCTAGCTTGTCAATACTAGCAGAAGGTCGAAGTGTGTTTTATCAGTAACATGCTCGAAAAGCCTCTCTCAGTTGTTTTTACAGATTATGATTCTTCGACTAAAATTATCACCTTTACCATAGTTGTCGCTCAGTTTGACCACTTACATGATTATATTTTGAATATTTTCTTAGATAATTAACCAATTGTTTGAGCAGGCATTACCCTTGAGGAATCCTCACTGAAATATGTCAAACGGTGCTAGATTACATGATGTAACACGGCAGTGAACACTATTATTGCGAGAAATCATCACGAAAAGTTCATATTTCTAACGCCCAAAGTCCACGATATTTACATGAAAAAAAAAATCGGAGTGAACCTTTAAATAACGGTTATACAGGTGTGATGTATTCCTCCTCTTGATACAATCCATAATTTAAATTTTGGGCCTACACACGTAATATATAACATGTTTAAGTCAAATCCCTGAAAAGTGACGCGTTAATGAATGAACCAATTGGGCAGCCTTTATAACTTTAAACCTGGCCTCAAGCATGTGCGTTTGCGTTAACTGACATCATAGCAGTTGGTGTGGCTAGTGATACAACCTGACTTCAGCATCTTTGACAATAACTCCAGTTTGCTTTGGGTTTTTCCAGATGAGTCAAGTTTTGAACCAATCCACATAGACAACCCTGAAGAGACAGCGATAATCTACTTTAGCAGCGGCACCTCGGGCTTTCCCAAAGGAGTGTGCCTGAACCACTACTATTTCTTTAATCACTCACCTTTAGTTCCCCCATCGTATCCCTCCAACTCAGACATAGACGAAGAAAGAAGAGACTACGAGATGACAATTCGCAAAATCGGAACCTGCTTCTTGAACTATGGCTCCATGTACTGGGGTTCCGCAGTACAGGGGCTGTTTCTTTCTATTGTGATAGGAATGTGTCGACTGGTGTGCAGTAATTTCGATGCGTTGCAGTTTTGGGAGCTAGTTGATAAGTACAAGGTATGGAACTATGGACGTTTGCACTGCCGTTCTAATAAAAAAAAAACTTCGTAAAGGTGATCCAATAGTTAAGGTCAATCTCAAATTGCGTTTTGGTTGCACAACTCCAATTTGGTAAAAACTTAGCTGAGGTAAGGTTACATCTGACAACAGTGAATCGATTGTAACTTTGAAATGAAACAGTGTGAAGGTACAGAGAAATAATATTTATTTGATATTTTAGGGTTTAGGTTATCGTCAGTCATTCCTACAATTGTAGGACGCCTTTATGGACCCCTCGATTTTCATAGTTTTCTACTGTTCCGTGTCAGCGCTCTATTTTGAGGTTATGTTACAAATATCTATTTGCATCAAATTGTTCATGATTTTTATTTATATCATCTGTTATATCAGCCTGAAATTCCCTATCATTCAAAAGGAAAAGATAGCCTCACAATAGGCGAGCGCTGACTCGGAACAGTAGAAATCTAGAAATTCCCCAGCCTTTCTGAATGATATAAAATACTATTAGAATCAAGGAGGCCATAAAGGCGTCCTACAATGGTAGGAACGTCTGGCGATACGGACCTTAAATGTCGCGCTCGTACATTTTTGAGCAGTACAGTACCTTTTTTTATAATGTCGCTTATAATAATCACATATAATATACTTGACTAATGTATTCTCATAAAAATTGCTCAAGTAGGTTGACTCCGCACCTTCCACGCAACGCTATCATCAGTTCAGAAAGAAATATGTTCGGCACGAGTTAGCCCCTCTGAGCTACGAACATGTAGAGTAAATAAATCAAACGGATCGAGCCAGTCAAACATTCCCATACAATTCATACGGACATTCTTTTCGTTGCTTTACCGACTTATCTTGCCGTTCTCCGCAGTTAGTCAGCAAGTCGCGGTAGTGACAGCCCGGACAATTTCTATCTCCTACAAGTTTTTTCCTAAAAATATCTCCTCTCAACCTTTGATAATAGTCAGAGAAAGTGGCAACGTTGGCATCACAAGACGGAGCTCGACATGTATATGATGTGACAACCCTGACACCTAAAAACGGTAGTTGGAGGCGTCACGGTATATAAGCCCGTTTTTGTGCCTCTGGGGAAATATGTTGATAAATGCCTTTACTTAGATATTTTTCTGGTAAAATCAAGCTTTGTTATTTTTTCTAGGTATCTGGTACTCTGCTGACACCTTTCCAAATTACCCAACTAGTGAAAACTGGAAAACCTGAACATGCTCACCCTCAATGCCTTTTGAGAATAATAACTGGAGGTTCATCTTTGGCAAATACGTACTTTTTCGCTCTTCAAGATATGCTGCCAAATACCGATATCCTACAGTCATACGGACAGACAGAAATTGGTATATTGGCTGCTTTCCAAATTCACAATAAATCACAAAGGGAGTTTTACAAGTTGCACCCGGATACTGTTGGGCTACCGATCAAAGGGGTTACGTATAAGGTAAGGTCTTCAATTATCATCTTTAATGTTTATTAAACACTCTGTACATGCCATAAAAAAGCCACACTAATACTATACTCCAAAAATTACTTGAGATGAAATGAGATACCGTATCTATCAGAATTTGTCTTAACTCTGTTTTTATTCTCCACACTAATTAGAAATCTACTAAAAAGGTTAGTGTCTTATAGGCGCTGTAGTCGAATATATGCTACATGCTATATATAAAAATTTGTATTTGAAAAAATGGCAACACTTTAACTAGACTGAGTGTTGATTTTTGTTAAAAAAAATATTAGTGTGTCGGGGGTTTTTGATTTAACAAAATTTTACCAAACGGTGGCCTATGATATGATATTTCCAGTTGCAGAATTATCCTTTAATTTCCGGAAACTCTGTATAATAGTCACACATATGTTAAATTAACACGCTGGTAAGTTCAAGCCTCGCTACAGGTTAGCCTATCTGGGGTAGTCCGTACGACCGCTCGATGATGACTGTTCAGTCTGACCCACCGGGTCGCCAAGACCAGCCAGCACCACTCGTCCATATCGCCACGGGCAAGGGTCGGCCTAGCTTCCTTTTTTTAATGCCCAAGATTTTGGAAACAGCTCAGGAACTAATCCTTGCAGTGTGGCAAGTGGCTTCGAAATTATCATTACTTCTCTCGCATTTACAAAGAAAATATAGCGATCGTGTGCCTTGGTGATACTGTTTGGCCACCGAGATCACTAGTTTTGACACCCATTGGCTCTTCATATGGAGGCTTTGAAAAGCAAAGTTCATAATCGGTTTATTTAAAAGGAATTATGCGCCGCGAAACGTTTAGACGTCTACTTAGGTGTACAGCTATAGTGTTGGCAATAATGAATCAGGTAGAATACGTGTTCAGAACAGCTTATACCAATAATAGTCAAAAAGTGTTTATACCATACACAGTCAAAAGTTGTTTATCTTGTGTGCAAAGTAGAGTTTCTGTATTATAGCGTTGTCAGGAAGTATGAATCAATAGCGTACAAAAGAACAAAAGACCACATAAATACGACTCTGTAGATAGATCTAGCAATGACAGATGCCAGAATTCAGTGTCACTTGATATATTGAATACTAGATAATCAGCTGTTATTTGCCGTCATGTTTGATGTAATGGAGATTATTAAAAGATACTTTTATTTCATAATCACACGAGCACTCGGTCACCGCTTTTATTTGCTTGTCGCCGCCTGTCGAGGAATTCATGACCCAAAAAGAAGCGTGAAAAACTGAACGTGACACGCTGGTATTTGTTTTGACTGAGTGTAAATACTCCATAATCGCTTTTTATCTATTGATTCTGTACAGGTGGTAGATCCTAACACAGACGAAATCCTTGGACCAAACCGAGAAGGTGAACTTAGGGTGAAGAGCAAGACAGTAATGAATGGGTACTACAACAGAAGCTGTGCTAACCGATATGACAAAGATGGGTGGTTTCGAACGGGAGATGTTGTTAAATACGACGATAACTTTTACTTCTATGTCGTTGACAGACTTAAAGAAATGCTGAAATACAGGTAAATATCACTCCTTATTTAGCTCAGGACCCATACCACCTTTTGAGGCTGTCTTTGACAACCTGACAACAAGATGAAACCTGCAGGTTCGAATTCTGTTCTTTTTACTTGAGGTGGTTATATCATAGTGACATACAAAAATAAGTAAGCAAAGTCACTAACTGTACTTTGTCCTGCGATCAGCTTCCCTAATTGCAGCCGATCCGTAACCCAGCTGTTGCTTTTGTACATACACTATATTCACTGAATCAAAGCAGTTACGTCACAATGTCAAATAATGTCAGTGGCGCACATGGTTGCCACATTAATTAAAACAACTAAATCCTAGGATGTTTTACAAAAACTCAATTTGTTTATACATATCATATACCACATCACGAATTGCTGGCAGTGACAGTCTTCTTGTGACGACGGGCTTTTTTTGGATTCAGGTACTTTACCAGCTTTGCATTGAGAAGATAACCTATTTACCGTTGACAAACTTATTTTCAATGCATCAGCGACATGCTGTTAAGAAAATACGTAGATTATTAAATAAATAAATTCTATTTACTACCTAATATCTCTCTTGTGGATTGTAAAGGCAATGATGGAGCTCTATGATCTCGTTCGGTCTCAAAATATTTCGTCAAAGAAATGACGAATTCTGTTGCTTGTCGATCCAGATTTTAGCAAAATGCTCGAAAAGACTCCTCAAATTTTTGAAAAGAACTGTTTTTATAAAATAATGCAGATATTGAGGCAAAAAGAACGAAAATCAACCACAAATAAACAACAGCCGCTTACGTAATTACCTGACATGCTTTGCGATAATGTCACAACACCGAAACTGTTACCAACATAAATGTAATTCAAACTATACGTACCAATGTAGGATCTATTTTGCATTACGGTTGGCATTCAAATTCAGTAAATATGATGTAAATCCTTTGTTTCAGTGAAAGGACTATACACATCAATAGGGTGACAGAGGGCCGTTGTTTTGATTCACTTTCCGAAAATACTGTAATAAATTCCATATAGACTATCGACATTGTAGTGGTATCTTCAGGCATTGCAATTTTTATATCGAAAATCAAACCTGATTACATTTTCCATCACTTTTTGGTATGTTTCGGGAGGAATATTTTTAAACGTTTCCGTAATATTATTCATCAGCTGCTCTACAGTATTTAGTTTGTTGGCATAAAACCTATTTCTCAAAAATCCTCATAAAAAAAGTCAGAAGCCGTTAAATCCGGTAACGCTGGTGGCCAGTTGACATCACCAAATCTAGAAATTAAACGCCCCGGAAATATTGTTCGCAAAGGATTAATTGTTTAACTAGCTTTGTGAAGTTTCTCCGTCCTGATGGAACCAAATGTTTTGCAGGTTAAATTGTTGGATTTGAGGAGCCAGAAAGTTTTGCACCATATCACGGTAGCGCTCGCCAGTGACAGTAAGGGAATTACCTCCAGCGTCTTCAAAGTAGTAAGGTCTCTCGATATTTTCCGGAGTATGAACAGTTCGAACACCCGTCATTGGCAAGTCTTTAACTCACCCGTTTGTTCAAATTTTTGCACCAACTGACGAATGGTCTTGACACTGGGCATATTATTTGTCGTAGATTTCGAATCGTTGCAACAATCGACTCATTATTTATTACACCTATTTAAGTAAAACGTTTTAATAATACGGATGCCTTGTGGGTTCGTGTAGCGCTCCATGATTAATTGGACACATGAGTTATAAGATCGATGCCTCGATATCGCTCATTAAAAAGTTTGTTTTTCGAAAATGCAAAACTCAAAAGTGTACTTTTACAAAATTATTACAATATTATTATGATGTTAACAGTATAAAAGCTTAAATCTGACTGACTGTAAAATGTGTTGGAAACAATAAAGTAAATTCTATGTCTTCTAGGACATTAGTGGCATGATCAGCATTATTCCTAGCATATCAGCAGGATCGGCTGATATAACTCATGTGCTTTAAACAACTACTGCGGCGCCACCTACTTAAATGCGTGTATCAAAAATGGCGCGAAATTTAAATCAGTCAGTTATAATATATTGGACACCCGTAAAACAAATATAATAAATCAATTCAGTAGCGGCGTGATATAAAGAAAAAGCGAGAAAAATTAAAATCCTCGAAAATTCGTTTCAAATACTTCTTATTTCCAGAATTCTCTTTTGGATAGGTTGAATGCGGGGGTTGAGGATTATAGAAGGTAGAAAGTTATAAATGGATCTTGGTATTAGTGAAAGACGTTATACCATTAAAAAGGTTCTTATTCTCGTAATATTACGAAAATGTTAGACATAATATTCACACGTATTTTACTGATATTTGCCATTAAAACTGAAATGTGATAGGTTTATTTTCTATAGTTTAGGTATAGAGGTTTATGATATATCATGCTAAAGTATGCAGATCTAGTCAAGTTTCGATTCCATTGTAGCCTTTTGAATAGACTTAACCCATTTTCTACATTAATTAAAAGAATCTCAAACAACAAAATCTCGATAGTTCATGGTTTCCGGATAGTAAGTGAACAATACCGGTGCATACGAAGGAAATTGCACTATATGGAAAATGGTATCATAATCCCTGCCACAGCCGTAGGAAGTATAGAGTCAATCTACTTGACGACAACTGGCAGGAAAGTATTGTAATAGAGAAAATTTTCGAAACTGAGATGTTTTTTGGATTCTCTACGACATTTCCATCACGAAAAACCATGTCATTCATTTGCTGCTTTTTGTATGTCTTTCCGTCTGTCTGTCCGCTTATCTTATAGCCGCCTATAACTTGAGAAGTACCGTCCGGATTTCGATGAAAGTTTCATACAATGTTTCTACCATGCTAAGGACGCAAAAGCATTTCTGTTTTCGAAAATCGGACTAGTGGCGGCGGAGAAAAGTGTCAAAAATGAAAAAAATAAAAATCACTCAAACTTCGTTTCTTGACGTTTCAGACGATCCTGATCACTCTCGAAAAATTTTTGTAGTTTTGTAATTTTTTGACGTTAGTAAAATTATAAGTTACCAACCCCAGTAATTCTACGCACATATTAGGCATATTTCACTCATCATACGAGTCCCCGTACATTTACCCTCAAAACTTAGAAATATCTCCAACAGTCGGGTGTCGATATGAGCGACGTGGTCCCCCAAAGGACAAGCGTCGTCGTCGGTGGTCGTACGTCACAGTCGGCAATCGTTTCCGCAATGCTGTTTTGTTCATCAGAACGATCATGTAGGCTTACAGGAACTTCTGTCAGGGGAAGGAGGAAGGTGCCCTAATTATTTGGTATACATGTTCGTAGCTAGTTTTTTTTCTTAGACGGGCTAACTTGTGCCCAACATAATTATTTACGAACTGATGGCAGGACAGAGTCAACTTACTTGACGCCATTTTTTTTGCAGAGGCTGGCATATTGCTCCAGCCATCTTGGAATTAGAACTTTCTCACCATCCTGCAGTCAAGCAATCTGCTGTGATAGGAAAACCACATGACGAAGATGGCGACCATCCCTTAGCTATTATCGTCTTGGAGGAAGGCCACGAAGGAACCACTGCTAAGGAAATTGAGGAATATATTGCAGGAAGAGTAGCGGAATATCAGAAACTCCGAGGAGGTGTTAAGTTCGTGAAAGATATTCCGCTGACGCCATCAGGGAAGATAAAACGGCGAGAGTTGAGAAGAATGGTACTCGATGAGTTGAGATGATAACACCTTCAATTGAGGCTAATTTCGTATGTACTAGTGCTATTGTTGAGTTAAAATTGTAAATATATATTTTATACTGATCTCCCTCCTGGAATTTATTTTATTTATACCATACCTATACTATTGAAGTGGAGGCTTTAGACCAGCGTATACCTACTTAGCGTAAAATGAGCATATTTTGCTATTAAAGCATATATAATAAAGACCTAAGGTAACCAGAGTTATTAAGTTTCAAAAAAATCTGCGACATCAAATCGGTTCATACCTCGTATATCACATATTTTCTCTTAATGTTTGACAGGTAAAAGAATATGTGACGCCGCCAGTTGTGTATGTAAGCCAAGCTTTTCGATATTAATAGCTTATGGTCTACGATGCGTGCTTTAAGATGTTGCTGATGCTTCAGGAGTGTATTTAGATCGTCCTTCTGGACGTTTCCATCCCGCCTGGCTCAAATTTGTTTATCTAATACAAAAGCAGCTTCTCGAAATGTCAAGGTAGCCTCAGTTAGCTCCAATTGAAGGGAAGTTGATAAATTTGTGGTTTTGAAACGAACAGCGACTATTTTGAACAATTCTGATAGGAAGTCGTAGGGATAAATGTTCTAATGGTTGATTCAAAATAGTTTCGAACCGTAGTAGAGAAATGTGAAGAGAACGTTAAGAAAATTAACTTGAAGGGTTCCTATACATTGAATAGCATATGTGATATAATAATTGATGAAGACATATTTTATCTATCAAATATCAATTTTACAATTAATGAAAATTCTGGTTAGTTACCTGAACTAAATATGACAGCCAATACTACAGTTGAATTGAGCAACTATCATATCCTAAATTTGGAAGAATTGAAAACTACTCTCAAACAAATAAAACCAATTCCTTATCAAAATCTAAATTTTTATCATACTGGAATAATTAGCGGATTCTCCATATTTGGCTTAATCATAGTTATTGGAGTAATTTATGTTCTATACAAATGTTGTCTAAAAGACTTGTTCATTAGAAAGGGTTCTGATCCTCTTGTAATGGAAAGAAATATTTCTGAAACTAAAAGAAACCGGGGAAAGAGTTATGTACTTTGGCTCAGTCTATACAATATAATTATTATATTGCATCATCTTGTATACTTCTATTACCGTTGTGTTAAAGACATTCAGTTTCAGACGTGCTGTTCAAGCATACACGCTTGCCGCATTATTTAATATTTCAATCGCCGGCACTCGCTTTCAGAAGCGCTGCTTAAGTCTGCTCTTTAATTTTTATTCACAGACTTCCAAGCTACTTATCCTTATCCACTTTTCCTTCCAAAATACTCATTTTTTACTAATTCTTCCTTTCAAAACCCTTATTTTTCCCACTTTACGAAGCTCTGGGCTGTGGATACCATTTGGATCGAATATCACAAGAGGGGCAACGCCATCGTGAAAAAGTTCGAGTTAGTGAAAAAGTCGCTACCAATAATCTGATTTATAAATAAATGCTCCGATTAAGCGCCGATCATGCTACTTTTCATTCGAAGACGAGGAATATTGTCGCACCTTGATTTTATTTACTAAAGAGACATGCTACCCATAACGTGCCTACGTGGCAACATAACGTTGAACTCCGCCAACAAATTGACAGAATATGGCCCTCAGATATTAGAGAGTTTTTAGTGCAACAAAAATAACGAATCGTTAAGCCTTCCGCTACGTTATTTTTACACCAAATAACGAATGTCGGAGGAAAATGAGTTTCTATGTTCTACCACTAAAGTGAACCGCGGTTATTTGACAGTGCTGACTACTGACACCTTGACAGGTTGATTCTTTTTGTTTCGATTTTGAAGTGAAACTAACCCCAAATTTTCAAAACATTGTTCATTTATTTCATAGAATAGTTTCGGTAATGGGTAGATATTTGCATCAAAACCGAAATGGAAATAAATAAGGTTAGAATCATAGAACCACAACAGCAGAACTACAATAAAAGGCATCTTGCCACATTGCATATATAATAAAAATAAAGAAAATTCTATTTATTTAGAGCACATTTCTTGCATTTATTTTTATCTGTGATCTGGAAGTCGTATTTCTGTTATATTTCAACCAATGTGTTTTTATAACTCGAAATTATCTTAATTAAACTTATTAAGTTTTATAAATTCCGGCAACTGCGCTGAATAAGGAGATTATTAGGAGTCTCGGTGTAGCACAGTGCACTACCGGGAACCGATACTCAAATTTTCTCGAAGAACGGTAATAGGCGAAGCCCGGATGTGACGTCGTCCGAATGTAAAAAAATCACGTAGTACGGGTACCGGCCTAACGTTTGTGAGGTACAAATGTAACGTCTTTAGTAATAGTCAAAAACCTTCTATAAGAAGCTTTTGAAAATTAAATGAAAAAAGTCCGATGTGCTATGTGCCCTAATTCGAAATAACTGCAATCGCTGGCATTGCGCCCACGGCGCGATGCTGTATTGTCTTGGAGGTAACAGCCGACTGTAAAATTTGTAACAAACTCCTACTGGTCTGCGAGGGTGTCGTTACTGACACACCGCTACATGAGAAATATTTATACATTTTAGCAATATTTGGATATTATCATATTACGTGCCACTTTAGCGTTCTGCGATGGTTCTGATCCCTCACTTTTTATATCTACACATATATTTTTCTGAATTTTATGATCCTTAAATGTACCACCCATCTCGCCTAACCTTTAACTTGTGTTACTCTGTCTATGGTGGCTCTCTAAATACTTCGTCAAGTAGATTGGCTCAGTACCTACATATGTCGCAGTGATATACAACAGACGAGGACTGACAAATCGATATAAATGAGACTTGGACATGGACTTGTGTGATGTAGATATCTTTGAGCAACAGAAAGCTTATGAACCGAAGTTCGAATATTATCACGAGTTTAATACTTTCATCGTTTAGGTAGTTCTTCTCATTTTCAGGCAGACATTTTAAAAAACTCCATAGACAATGGAAGTCCGAGAAACAACATCTGAATCAACCACATTGTCACCCAAATTTCAAACAACAAGATAAAATAGTGATAAAATTTTGAGGTGAAACCATTTGTTGAGCTTCTGGTGAGGTAATTTATGCCTTCTCATCCCAAACTATACACACTGATTCACAACGAAACATCATACACAAGACCACATTTTAAGGGGGATATTCTGTGTAACATTTTTTCTTCGAGGACTTCATTAAAAAGATACGGGGTGTTGAAGTTTAAAAATAAAAAAAAATTTAATATCTTCAAAATAATTCAAAAGTCTTTACTCAAAATTAACGTGCATCAGTGGTGGAGATACACTGGATTAGTAGCATTATTTTTCCAAATAAAAATAGTACGCCACTGTTTTTTTTTGAACGCGCAATTTTTTGATTTTCACCTTCAATTTGCTATAAATAATTACTACTGTGCTTTTTCCTAGAGTGCACTGTTTTCGGAAAAATAAAAATAAACCAAATTAAAACATTCATGAAGAGCTGGGATACAATTATTAGTAGTTTCAAAATAAAATAGGAGGCCTTGATACCAACTTGACATTTCTTGAGAGACAGTTTGTCAAAGTTTTGTGTTATGCACTTGTTATCGTTACTACCTTACTGCCATTCTTTTTTTGTAAAAAGTCAAAAATTCCTTTTTTCCATTTTTGAGTGTTGTGAAATGGAATTTAGCAATGATGAGTACGCCGATATTATTTTTGTGGACGGATTCTGGAATGGAAATGCTTTAGCGGCTTCTCGGAAGTATAACGTAGATTTCCTACCAGACGCCAACCTATCTCAAAGATTTCTACGCGTTCATTTCTAATACTTCGGCAATATGGAATTGCCAAGCTTTCCGAAGTTAGTGGCTATGGTGACCGGCGTACTATTCAAGAGGAACTGGGAGTGATTAATTTGGCGTTGGATGAGCCTAGTACAAGTACTAGGCGCATTGCAGAAAAGTTACCATATTCCCACAGTCTTGCGTGGAGAATTTTGAATCGGGAAGTTTTACATCTTTACCATCGACAAAATGTGCAATGTCTGCAACCCGGCGACGAAATGCAACGGCGAAACTTTTGTAAGTGGTTACTGCAAATGTACAATCAAAATGCATTGCATTGATTTGGTTTTGTAGTTAGATGAAACGCTTTCACGAGGAGTGGAACCTTTAATTCTCATAACGAACATATTTGATCGTTAGAAGATGGCCAACTGTTTCTGCACTTATTGCCACAACGTTTAAATGCAAACTCATACTTAGCTTCTCTAGAGAATTACATAGAAAATGTGTTAGATGAGAGTACGAATGTGGTATCATCACGATGGTGCTACACCGCATGTTCGTCGTGACATAACGACATGGTTAAATAATCATTTTAGACAACGATGTATTGGCAGAAACGGACTTGTACATTGGCCTGCGAAGTCTCCTGATCGGAACCCGCTGGATTTCTTTCTGTGGGGCGCTTTTAAACAACTAGTGTATGCTGAACAAATTAATACTGTTGATCAGTTACAAGAAAGAATAGATAACGCGTTTCATCAAATTCAAGCCACAACAATTTTGTGGAAATACGTTTTTCTTTATTAAAAAGATGCCGCACTTGTATCCGACAGAATGGTGGTCTTTTTGAACATTTGACTATCTAATTTTTTTTCCTATTCTTTCGAAAACAATGCGCTCTAATAAAAAACACAAAAGTAATTATTTGTAGCAAATTGAAGTTAAAATTCGAAAAATTGCGCGTTTCGCAAGAAAAACAGCGACGTACTATTTTTATTTGATAAAATAATGCCACAAATCCTCTATATCTGCGCCTCTGGTGCACGTTAATTCTAAGTAAAGACTTTCGAATGTGGACAATATTTACGTTAATCCGCATACCAAATTTTAGTTTATTCCAGTTGACGGTTTTGAAGATATTAAAAAAAATGTTTTTTATTTTGAAACTTCTTTTTAATGAAGCCCTCAAGGAAAACATATTACATAAAAGATGGTAGGATGTATGATGTTTCATTTTTGGTCACGACTTGTGAATCACCCTGTATAGCTAATCTTGATTCCGAAGAGCTGTAACGTTGGTGGAGGATGAGATGAAGTTGCCGCTCTTCTTCCCATCATAGCCCACGCATGTTCAGTTAGCGAATGCTTTTGAGATCTAGAATAGATTTTGCTATTTCCTAGATATACTGTTGAGCCGTCATACTTCCTCTAATGGAGATTAGAGGTGACCACCAGTTGTGGTGGCATCTCCGGTTTTGGGTAAGAAACGTTAACTGAAAGCTTTACATCACGTCGTTCTCCGAGACAGCCTCTGACTCGTGCCCGTCCGTCATACATTTATAAAACATAATTGAGACTAAAACAATGGGATGATGAATGGTGTATTGTTTTTAGTGGTGATATCGGTTCTATTTAGGAATGTATCATGGGCGGACACTAGCCAGAAGGCGTCGCGCAGCAAGACAAAAAGTAAAGGTTTCAATTGAACCTCACTCGCACCATACTGTAGTAGCTTTAGGAGCTATTGAACATGGTGCTAAGTAACTTCTAGTTTCTTTCAGAGAAGGTATAACGGTGCAACGGCGCGTTCAAGAAATACTGGAACCCCATTTTTTCCATTGCCCTAAACGCATCTCTAACAAGATAATCCATGTCGCCACATTGCTACAATACCGGTCAAGTCAGCTTCCGTCCTTGGCTTCCTATATCTCAAGGCCTTTCGTCCATTGAACAAGTATGGAATATGATGGGAAAAAGGTGACCTCTTCACTACACAAATCCACATACGCTCACAACTTTTTTGAAGCAAGTACAGCTGACTTGGCACAAGATACCTCAAAAGACATAAATTACCTCAGCATAAGCATGTACGTTATACGGCATTAGGGGCAGTCTATCCCATTATTAGGAAAAACCAAATAAAATCATATTTGCTGAGTGTTATATTTTTTTGTCAGTAAATATATTTAAGGAAATCCATTATCCAGTGTATATGTACTGAATAGATGATTATCTATTAATTGACTCTGTACAAGACTGATTACAGCCAGAGAAACCAATGTTTTAGTAAGTTAATTTTGTGTGTAGTCCACATTCGGTGGTCGAAATCATACTCAGCAATGAAGTTATTCAAGTTCAACAAAAATATCAACAATTGCCCAATATGTATTTTCCGAGTGCTCTTCTGGGTGTCTTTGAGTTTATTCTCAGTCATACCAGAATGTCCTCATTCTCACAAAGTTTCCAGGATTACTTTGAAAATAAGCAAGTATGGTAAAGCACTATGGACAGCTACGTGTCTTTTCAGCATTTACATTTTTATTCTCGTCTATATGGATATCCAATCCTCAAAATCAGTCAAAGACATAATTTTGCTTTTCCAAATTTTCAATATCTTGCTTCTACGATTCAGTTTCTACTTTTATAGGCAAGATTTATACATTTCATTTAACTACCTGGTGTACCTGATCGAAAGAAGAAAACTATTTGGAGTTGGATCAGCGTTAAGCGATAAGTTCTCAGTTAAAGCAAGATATATGCTACTTGTTCATATAATCTTAGCCTTCAGTTACCATATTGGCAAATGTGTCATAAGCATACACCACATGCCTACATTGAAGAACATCATTTATTCCCTAGGATATTTTTTGACGGGCTCTGATGCTACTTGCGTAGCATTTATCACAATCGGTTTGATAATCACTTACGAGGAACTTTTAATGTCTTTATATAGAACTGTTGAAGACACGTTTAAGTCACCATATTTACAAGTGAAAGACTTGTCGTTAAAACTCAGAATTTGGCAGCAGTATTATCTGGAGATAGTTAGAAATTATCATAAGAATATCCTAGCTCCTTCAAACATACTCTTGGTTATTGTTGAATTTTGTTTTGTCACCTTACTGACAATATGCGGAGTGCTATACTATATTCTCCAGTCTGAAAAAGAATGTGATATGTCGATATATGTGGAATGTATATCCTTCATACTGATATCCTGCTCCATGAATCTTCTATGTGACAGAGTTATGCGATCGGTAAGTTAATATAAATATTATAAAGCTATACAACCTACAAATTTTGACTCGTAGTTTTAGCACATTATTAAAAAAGCTAGAAGTAGATGGCGCTCGTTAGATTGGAGGTCATGTCTAAGGTTATAATCAGACATTGATGTGAATTGCTGATCAGCTGTTCATGTCAATAGACGTCAAACGTGATGAAGTCGTGAAAAATAGGTTGCTTTTCCTTTTTCAAATCTATCTTTTTCCCATACACTTTTGACAGCTTGACCTACAACCACACAAGCAATCAGTAGCGAGAGCAAAATCGGACATCGTTGCCATTGTATCATTGAGTCTGGCACGGGTATTATGTAAAAAACCTATAAAACGTCAAAAAAAACTATAAAAACCATCTTGCAGACTAAGTACTTTTAGAGTGCAAGCAGTCATTCCAAGTTTGCTCACTAATAGTCTAATCATATAAGACGAAAATACCCCAGGTTTGCGAAATAATTGCATAACCTGCATTTTGCCTCGTTTTTCGGCGATAACATTTTTGCTATTCGTCGGATCTCTCTATGTGCGGTCTCATTTTGTATGTCTCATAAATACCTAAAAATCTTGTATGAAAAGTTTCTTCGTTCCTGTCAACACTTTCGATCGAACCCTAAAAAACACGTTTTCTCATTCTTTGTTGCCAAATAAAAAGTTTTCTTACAAAAATTTTATGCGTCCATGTTTTGAATACCCCCTTGAACAACAACCAATAAAACCAGACTTTACAATTATTTCGGGGAAATTTGCTAATATGATTAGACTCAAGGATCGTTATGAGCGTCCATCTGAGAGAAATTTGGTTGAATAGCAAGATGGCAGCTAGATGATTATGCGTATACGTCTGCATGTTTATAAAATCAGTGATATTAATATATTTTTATTTATATGTTTTCTTTTGTGAAGACAGGTTAGGTTCAAAGTTATAAATAAAAAATATAATCATGTTCCGTCCTCGTCGAAGTAAATATTTAGAATACATATCGTAGTACCCTCGTAATAGTATCCAACCGCCATGATTTCAAAGCCCACACGTAGAGAAGGAAAGCGGCACCGCGCCCCTTCCCCCTTCCCTTCCCGCTCTGGCCAACTACAAACCTTCATTCCTTGTTCTCGTACCGAACTGTTAACGCGGCGACCGGCGTGCATTGTTATGTTTTCAGCACTGTCGCGGAATCGCTTAACATTTAGAATTAGAAAACAGGACAGAAGGTTGGCCAAAAGATGTGCATTGCCGAACGAGATACAAACCGACGGTCGGCTGATGGTTCCTTTCATCGCGGAGAAAAATTAGAAAGTGGCGTGCAGGCCTCTTTTTTCTGAAGGGGTGTCACCATCAGGTAACTGTCGACTTACCGATCTATTTAGGTGCAAGTTAAATGATTATCAGTATGGATGCCTCACCGGCGCTGCAAACTGTGCCTAACATGACGTTTGGTATAACGTTCCGATACTATTGCTTGGGATAGCAACCTGGACCTAGCTTGTCATAGCCAACTCCATACCTACGACGAACAAAGACGTTTGGGATAACGCTGAAACATTACACTCGGTTGCTTGGGATAGCAACGCGGATCCGGCTTGGGATAGCCAGCTCCATACCAAGGACGAACGAAGACGTTTGGGATAACGTGGAAGCATTAGCCTCGGTTACCTGGGACAGCAACGTGGACCTGGCTTGGGATAGTCAGCTCCACAACAAGGATGAACGAAGACATTTGGAATAACGTTGTGACATTGCATTAGGTTGCTTGGGATAGCAACATGGATCTAGCTTGTGATAGTCCACACCAAGGACGAATGGAAACGTTTGGGATAATGACCCAATACTGAACTCCGAAAGCGTTTGGGACAACGTAGCAACAAGGTATGGTCAACAATCTCTTCTCAATTGCTTGTGATAGCAAATTTCATCTGGTTTGTGATAACCATAGAACAGAACTGTAAGTTTGAACATGGCAGATTAGGAGGTCGTTAAGATACATTTTTCAAATTCCATCTGGTTTGTGATAACCTTGGAACAGTATAAGAAGATTGCACAAGACAGTTTAAGAAACCGACGAAGTACCATTTTTTATTAATAACAAATAGGGATTAGGTTCATGTATGCAAGACTAGCATTAAATTTTGTTTAAGATAGCAAATTCCATCTGGTTTGTGATAGCGATGTAGCAATATAGCATTTTTCATTTATAACAGATAAAAATTGGGTACATCTATGTGAGATTAGCGGTACATGTTGCTTGGGATAGCAAATTCCATCTGGTTTGTGATAACTATGGAACAATATTGCAAGGATGCACATGATAAGTTAGGAAGAAGCCGAAGTATCACTTTTTATTAATAAACAACAGATATTAGGTACATCTATGCGAGACTAGCGTTACATTTTGCTTGTGAGAGCAAATTCCACGTAGTTTGTGATAACTATGGAACAGGTGGCTAATTATGAATATGTCAGGTTAGAAAACCGCCAACGTATATCTTTTTCTTATCACCAGATAAAGAATAGGCACCTTATGCGAGGTTAGCATTACATTTTGCTTGTGATAGCAAATCCCATATGGTTTGGAATAGCCGTCGAACAGGTCAATAATATGCACATGACAGGTTACGAAATGGCTGAACACTATTTTTCATTAACAACATATAGAAATTAGGTACATGTATGGTAGACTAGCCTTACATTTTGCTTGTGATAGCAAATTCCACCTGGCTGGTGATAACTATGGAACCAGACTGTACGTATGAACATGACTGGTTAGGAAACTACCAAAGCTCTAATGTTCAGTAATAACGGAAGTTAAATATCATATGAGGCCCTCGAACAGCAGGCTGCTCTGGATTGTGTTGTCTTAAAGGCCATGTAGTCTATTTCGATAGATGACGCTTCATCACGATGATGCGGTGACCTTAGTATAATTAATGTTCACGCGTTGTTCTAAGGGTGACATTTCGAGGGCAGGTCTTGTTGATGACGATAGATGAATAAATTCTGTTCTATTCTAGCCTCCTAAGGTGAACCAGGTGAGGTAGTGGAAGCGTAAGCTAACTAAAAATCAGCACCTATCCAATTTCTTCTTTCCCCCAAGAATGATGGGCCAACACGTTTGATTCCTTACCTCAAGACACTTTGTCTGTTTATAGGGATGTAACACTTAAGTCTAGGCTATTGAACTGGGATCAGACTTCTCCTTAGAGATACTTTTTTAACGAATCTGGAGTTGGAATATGCAGAGATTTTGGTACCCGTTAGGGAGAGTCATAGAGTATATTTCAGATTCATATTCAAGGGCCAGCTCTTCCAATACAATGACATACCGTTTAGGGTAAATTGTGCCCCTCATGTGTTCACAAATTTAATAAAACCATTTCTGGAATACCTTAAGTAAAAATTGAGCACCTTCAGGCTCAGTATTAAATTGTAACAGAAAGAAAGTAACTTTACTTGAGCGGACGATGTATATGAGTATATTAATAAACCAAGTAAGGGCGATAATGGACAGCAACCAAGACTGAGTCCGAAACTTTGCGGTGAACATCGGGATCTTGCTGTCAGCTTGTCTTTCATTTCGTTACAGCCGAATATACACTAACGAGTGAAATGTCTTAACTTGTAAAATTCTCAAGGGAATTTTAACGCTTCTATGCCAATAACATAATATAACTTAAGATCTATCTCGGCTGGGGCTCAAAGAAACTGGCAGATGCGGTCAGAGGTATTGAATTATCCAATTGTTAGTTGTATAATTTCTCGGACTGGGACATTCGTTGGCCAGGGAAAAGTCTCTAGTCACCTGAGAAGAAAATCCCACATGCTAAACATCAAGTACCACTGGTAGTTTTCCTCTGTGGTGAATGCTCTGCTACCAAATTGATGGGCTGTCGCATATTATACCCAATCCTACATGAATAGAATGGAGACCTTCTAGTTTCCACGTCTGGACCAGGTTGCGGGGAAACTATGGCAATTGTGTAAAGAAAGAAATCTTACTGCCCTTGCGTCAAATATAAAATTCAAGAGTAATACTGATACAGATGAGCTTTTGCTTCAGTTGAACGTGAAAACGGAGTGAGAGCTACACCTGTCGCAAGGACCTGATGGAGGGACCCAGGACGCAGCTCCCACTAATTCTAAAGCTTATCCTGGCTACCGTCACTGGAAAGCTGTCATTCCTATGAGCATCGATAATCCATCATGTATTGTGGGCTTAGATTACGGTAGGGCCTTTGTCGGGAAGAAATACATTTCTGAAAGATATGTGGAATTTATGTCAGAAATTCTGACTAATTTCTTAGACGAATTGGATCTTATAAGTAGACATCATCTGCATTTTCAGCAAGATGGCGCACCTGCCCACAACTCCAGAGGTACTTATCATTTTCTAAGTACTACTTTTAATGATCAGTGGATAGGAACAAATGGCCCAATACAGTGGCCTCCCAGATCACCAGATCTAAACCCACTTGATTACTTCTTGTGGGGTTACTTAAAGAACCAAATTTACAAGCGAAGGTACGATAACCTTGACGCGTTAAAGACTGCAGTTAGGGAAAAGATAACCCAGATAGATGGTAGGACCAAACTTAAGACAGTTCGAGCAGTTGAAAAACGTGCCCAAAAATGTATTGAAGAACAAGGTGGTGTTTTCGAGCATCTTCTTTAAAAAAATTGTTATTGTATTTTGTAAGATTATAAGTTGATGTTGAAAATAAAGTTTGTCGATACAATTTAATTGTTTCAGATTGGAGGCCATAACTTCAACAATTTGTAACCTAGGAGAAAAGTTATTGTAAGCTTTTTTGTTTAAAATTTGATGCTTTAACAGAAAAAAATATAATATACAGGGGTTTCCATTTAAAAAAATGTTATTTTACTGAAAAAAATCAAAATAACGACTCTCAATTGTTTTTTTTTATTTCTCATTTTTACCAGCGTTAAAAATGCTACTAGTTTGCTAATTCAAACAACTTTGTAT